AAGGCAGCCACCCAGCAGAGGACCAAGCTTCACCCAGCAGTGGGAGGCGAGAATTCTACTTCTGAACCACCAGTGCCCCCTTGGCTTCACCCAGCAGTGGGCAGGCACCAACGACTCCTGCCAGGAAGCCTGCACCAGCCTCTAGTCCAGCCTCACCCACCAGGGGGCAGATACCAGAAGTAGGAAAACAATCCCAAATCCTGTGGAAGGAACCTGCTAACCGCAGGCCAGACTCTCCCCTGGGACTGGCTGGACCCTGGCCCTTGGGTGACGAGAGAGGAGCGCACTGCTGGGATGTACAGGACGTTTCCCACTGAGGGCCACTACTCCAAGGTCGAGAAACGTAAGTAACCTACCTAAAAATATAAATAGAAATTTAGACAATATGAGGCAGCAGAGGAATATCTCCCAGGCCAAGGCACAAGATAAAATCCCAGAAGAAATAAGTGATGAGGAGACAGGCAATCTACCTGAGAAAGAATTGAGTTATGATGGCAAAGATGTTCAGAGAACTCGGGAGGAGAACCAATGCACAGAGCGAAGTTTTTAGCAAAGAGTTAGAAAATACAAATATCCAAACAGGGCTGCATCCAAGCGCAAGAGGCAGCGGCCAGGAAGTTGGCGCGCTCCCCACGCCACACCTGTCGCTGCTCAGCCTCTTTGAGGTGGTTCCCACGCCGGTCTCTACTGACGGCTCAGGGTTTGGAGTTTTAAGGAGCAGGGATGTAAGTTATAGGAGCAAGAGTGGAATAATAAGTTTGCTTCGTATTGGCCCAAGTAACCTTTCCAGACTCATCTAGTAACAATGTCACTGATTGACACGTGGTAGTGGTGACTGTCAGTATGGCACTGGGCTGAGCCCTTCATACCCATCCCTTCAGCCCTGCCAGTCTCCCTAGGTGGTGAGCTGATACCATCCTCCTCTTCCAGAAGAGGAAACGGAGTGTGAGGTGAGAAGCTGGGATTTGACGTAGACACTGTGGCTCCAGGTCGACTAGTTACCCTTTCCTCTCTGGTCCCGCCAAGCTCTGGGACCAATAGGTGTTTGTGGGGTACAGGCTGAACCCCCTGAAGTTCCTGAGACTGTCCCCGAGGGCTCCATTCCTGCTCTGACATCTGCATTCTCTAAAGCTTCTCTCTCGTCCCCCAGGCACACTGTCACCTTCACCCCCGCCTGGGACCTCCTGGAGAACTTCCTGACCCTTTTTCCAGATTCTAACCTGCTGCCCCTCGCTGCGGCCGCAGCAGCCCCAGTGGGTGCACTGAAGGTAGGGGCTGTATGTGCTGGAAAGATGAAAGTCAGTCACCCCAAGGCAGAGGTGTGTGGGGGCAGGGTCAAGACTGCGCTCTGAACCCAAGAAAAAAATATTGATAAGTTGAACTTAAAATTAAAAGCTTTGTGCTTTAAGAGACAACCACCAAGAAAGTGAAAAGATAACCTACAGAGTGGAAGAGAGTATTTGCAAATCATGTATGTGATAAAGGATTGGTATCCAGAGTATATGAAGAGCATTTACCACTCAATAAAAACATGAGTAAGTCAGCTAAACAGCTGAGCAAAGGACTTGAATAGACATTTCTCTTGTTATATACCAAGATATACCAAGGAAAATGACCACTAAGCACATGAAAGGATGTTCAGGGAAATGCAAACCAACACCTCAGGGAGATACCACTTCATACCCACTAGCGTGGCCATGATTAAAAAATACAGACAGCAACACGTGTTGGTGAGGATGTGGAGAAACTAACCCTCATATGTTGATGACAGGAATGTCTAATGGTGCAGCCACTTTGGAAAACAGCTCGTCAGTCCCTCAACATTTCAGATTAGTGGTGGCCAGGCTGGGGAGAGGGAAAACGGGGAGTGACCGCTAATTGGGTACAGAGTTTCATTTTGGGGTGAGGAAACTACTCTAAACTTAGAGAGTGGTGATGGTGGCACATTGTATACCTGAAAGTGTGGATTCTAGGATATGTGAATTATAGCTCAATAAAACCGTTATTTCAAGAACTCTGGGCTCTGAGGTCAGACGTGGGTGTGTGCTATGGTCTGAATGTGTCTCCCCCCAGAGTTGAATCCCAGCTGTCAAAGATGGTGGTGGTAGCAGGTGGGACCTTTGGGAGGCACGTGAGTCATGTGGGTGGAGCCCTGCACTAATGAATGGGATGGAGCTCCCGAGCACCTTCCACTTCGTGAGGACACAGCAAAAAGGTAGTTACAAACCAGGAGAAGGACCCTCACCAGAAAACATGGCCATGACGGTGCCTTAGTCTTGGACTTCCAGCATCCAGAACTGCGAGAAGTAAATTTCTGCTGTCGGTAAGTTACCTGGTCTGGTGTTTCTGTTGCAGCAGCCTCAGCGGGCTGTGCGGGAACCCTGTCTCTCTGCTCCTGGCTGTATGATTTCCCTGCCTTGGTGCTGACTTTATAAGGCAAATTACATGAGGCAGGTGATGTCCGAAGGAGCCTGGGACACACCTGGGTGGCTAGACTCCAGAATTTTCCATCTCCAGGGATAACTTCAACCTTAGAGAGCCACCTGCCTCCCTCCTTCAACCTAGGGTGCAGGCTTTCCCTTGGGGAGGGCAGGGGGGCCTCCACGGCCCCTGCTCCCTTTCCCAGACTCATCCTTGAAGCTCTCCAAACAGAGAGCTGTGTTCTAGGATCCCATGGAGGGTGGAGCCAGCAGGGGGTGCCGGGAACTCTGCCAGGTTGGCCCCTTGGCCTGAGTGGGTCCTCCCAGACATACAAGAGTGAGTGCGTCTGTGTGTGTGTGTGTGTGTGTGTGAGAAGAGAGAGGGAGATGGGGGAGAGGCAAGGAGTGTGGAGAGAAAAGGATGCAGGAGCCGGGTGCACTTGGCATGAGGTCCAGGCTGGAGGACAGGGAGAGGCTCAGCCTCTTGCGTACTCACCCACGATGGAGAGGATGACAACCACGAAGTCGAAGATGTTCCAGCTGTTGGTGAAGTAATAGTGGCGAAGGGCAGCCATCTTGAAGATACACTCGCCTGTGAAGATGGCTACAAACAGCAGGTTGATCTTGGCCAAGATGTTAACCTTCTCAGGGCTCTGGTCATCCGTCTCCACCATCATGGTCACCATGTTCAAGCAGATGAGAAACATGATGGTGACGTCAAAGGCCTGCTTGGTCACAATGTCGAATATGAAACCTTGGTACTTGTTCTGAAAGGAGGGGCGAAGGAGGGGGTCAGCAGGGACCTCAGACAGGCCAGCAGGCCCGCTGTTGCTGCCTCTTGGCCCAGGCCCACCCCCCCACTCCACCCTTTGCGGGGTCTAACACCCCCAGACGGTCACAGTGAGAGGAAGAAGTCAGGAGGCTGAACAGCCTGGCCATTTCACTGAAAGCTCCCTGGGCTTCAAGGCCCAGCCCTGGGGCTCCCTCCCCGGAGACTGTCTCTGATGGACCTTCAGGAAGAGCTCACTCCTACCCCGAGTCTCCTGAGCACAGCGTTCATCGGGCTGCTTTGTTCCCGCTGTCTCAAGTGTCAAGGTCAGATTTAATGTTCAGTCCTAGCCACTGTCTCAGCCCTTGGGTTAAATTTTCTCCACTCTTTTAATGGAATTTATTTTATTTACTCTACTGACTATATTTATATGTCTTTAATTGTAAGCTAGTCCAGATCATTTTGGGGAAGAGAGACTATTATAAGTGAAAACACACACACAACTAACCTAGAACGGAGTATGGAGAACAGGAAAGAATTAGATGAAGGAGTGTATGAAAACCTGTGGGTGCTCCTCACTAGCCAGGGATTTAGGGACCATCCCCCAATTAACCTAAGTACTGCCCCCTTCCTGCTCCAACACACACGGACCACACACTTTTTTGGGTGTGCTTGCACGTACATGTGTGTATTGGCTTGATCAGGCCAAGGGAGGCAGCCTAGCAGAGGAGCCAGCACCCCTCTGGGCCCCGCCCACCAGGGGACTTGACTGCTCAGGGGGTTGCAAGGATGCGGTTACGCGAGGGGCTGGGGGCTGCAGAGCTGCCCTGCCCTCCCTGGGGAGAGCCTCCCCCTGGCAGGGGAGGAGGGGACTTCCCCGGCTGCCAGGGCCGTCTCATGCCTTCCCCGCTATCTCCATGAGACTGAGACCCCTGTGCACGGTCAGAGGTCCCTCCTTCCCCGACAGGAGACAGTGGAGAGGCCCTGAGAGCTGGTCCTGTGGAGTGGGGGCTCCCCAGGCTCCCCACCACCAGCAGGTCCTCCCCGCTCCCCCCAGATAGAGCCTGACTCACCAGGGGCCGCGGGATGGGCTTCTGGGGCTTCTTGGAGCCCAGCTTCTTCATGGCATTGTAGTACTTCTTCTGCTCCTCTGTCATGAAGATGTCCTGGCCCCCTAAGTGCAGAGAGGGGCACCAGGCTCATTGTGGGGTTCTTGGAGCCCCGGCATGGGGAACACAGGGATCTTGCCTCCTGGGTGAGGGTGTCAGGGTTGCCCTCCTCCCCACTTCCTCTCCTGGGGAGAAGTCTGCCCCCATCCTGCACCAGAGATTCCCCCCGAGACCTGCTTCTACAGGGTCCCTGTCCCCATTCACCTTGACCTCTGACACTGACCTGCAAGTCCAGTCCCCACCCCGGGCCTCTCCCCTGGCCACTCAGCCACCCCTGGAGGTTCTCTGCGCCCATGCTTGGTTTGCCTGCCGCCCAATCACGGCCCCTCCGATGGAACTCCAGGAGGACCTGGCCTCTGTGCACCTCGCTGTCCCTGGTCGAGGACCAGGTGGACAGTCCCAACCCTGCCCCCAGCATCCCTCAGGGCCTCATCTCGCAGGTAGGCTAGGGTCAGCGCGGGGCCCCTGGCTACACGCTTCCAGGCCTAAGTGTGTCACGTCATGGACACACCCCTCTCCCACCCTATCTCAGTGGCAGCAAGCGCCCCGGGGAGCCTGGGCTCTACGTATCTTTTTCTTCTGTTGGTTGAAGTTGTCGATGATGACACCGATGAAAAGGTTCAGGGTGAAGAAAGACCCGAAGATGATGAAGATGACGAAGTAGATGTACATGTAGAGGTTGTATTCCCACTGGGGCTGCTCTTCATACTGCAGGGGGGGAGCGGGCAGGGGGTCAGCCGGGCAGGGTCGGAGCGCGCCGGTGGGTGTGCCGGCTCTGGGAGACAGGGTGTGCCAGGGGCTTGTGTCTGACTGTATGTGACAGTGAGGGGAGCAGGCATGCTGGGCTCGGCTGGCACAGGGTCACTGAATGGCTTCTGCCCCGGGCCACTGGGAGGTTTGAGCATATGGGGGCATCTTTCAGCCGTCAATGAACCATCAGTGTGACTGGCAGGGGCACAAAGGAGAAACTTGACTTGTGTCTCTGTTACTTCCACCTCATCCTCCTGGGGTAAGACTGATTTAACTAGATTACAGTGAATTTAATATGAAAGATGTTTGAGAATTTGGGGACTCCTTGGGCCAGCCCTGGACATTCCAGAGAGGCTCAACTCCAGGTTCACACAAAAGACCTCACCCTTACGGGATGTGGACCCTGATCCCCGGTGGTCAAGCAGCTGGGAGCCTCGGGTGCCTGACTCAGGGAGAGAGGCCAGTGTGGCAACCTACCCCTCTGGAGTCCACCGCCGCGTACATAATGTCCATCCAGCCTTTAAATGTTGCCTGGGAGGAAGAGACAATAAGAAAATCATTTAATTCTGCATCTATTCAGCTACTTGGGGCTCCTGTCTGGACAGACGAGGCCAGGAAACAGCCTCCTACAGGAAGCAAGCAGCCCGCCCCACCCATCAGCAGCGTCCAAAAGTCCGGGTGGTCAGGGAAAGACCTTCTTGTTCCGGGCTGGGGAGGGGGGGAAGCCAGCCAAGCAGCACCCCAAGAAGGCCACACAGTGGGGGAACAAGCTTCCGGATGTTGGCCAAGAGACTGCCCTTCAGATCCACATTGATTTCAGATTCTAAAACCACACAGGGTCCTACTGCGGGTGTCAGGGACAGAGAGGTGGGGCCTGGCTGCCCTGTTCTGGTTTCAGGTGGACCCTGGTGCTGACCTGGTCCCCTCTGTCATGAGCCTTGTGGCTTCTGTTCTACGGCCTTTCAAAGGAAGTCCCTCAAGAATCGCAAGGGGGCCCCTTTGCCAGCTGTGTCTTGGTAAGTGACCGACTAACAAATGGCTTCCCAGAAGACGGAAAAGCACCAGATGCTGTGTTTGCCACTTTCTCCGTGTAAACCCTCCCACCACGGTCAGTCTCAAGTGGTCATCGCGCCGGCACTGCACACACAGTCGGGGAGAGGTGCACAGGAGCATGACGACGTAGTATTTCCGCTGTACGGACTCACCAGATGTGAGTAACCTCAAGAGTATAGATGATAATAAACAGTGATGGTGAGTTTTGATTTTGTTTCAATATCATTCAGTTAATTATAAGCTTATAAAACCTAATTTTTAAGAATGGCTTGCAAAACATCGGAAAATGTAGCAACCAGCTTTTGCAAGCCCACACAAACACAGCCCACAGGGCCGTAAAAAGGGGGCTGAACGGAGCAGGCCTTGGCGCTGGCTGCGTGGACTGCCTCACTCGGGGCCTGAGACAGGCTGCCTAGTGGGTCTCACTTGTGTCCTCGGCCAAATCCGATGCTGTCCTGAGTCTCCTTTCAGGGGACAAGCTGGTCCACACAGACCTTCCATGTCTGAGTTTTTATGAGACAGGCGGGGCAGGTGGGGACACCAAGGTGGCCCCAGAGAAGGCAAGCTGCTTCCGCTCCCTGTGCTGGGTGGCCCTCACCTGGACAGAGGCCTGGGAATGCTCTGCAACCTGTTTGGGGCCACCCAAGGTTATGAGATGCCCGGGGCCAAGTTCTTTCCAGCTACGGTGCTGTTCTGTCTCGAACGACCATTAGTTCTCAGTCTTCAAAAGGGGCCTTTCCTTCCAAATTCTGGCGTTCAGACGGGGAGGCACAGGGAGGGGAGGACTAGCCCTAATCTTGTTATCCACGAGGAGGAAGCTACTCCTGGGATTTAAGAGGTGAGTGGAGGTGCATTAAGTTTTCAGGTGAGAGTCCAAGTTCAGTTTCTCTGCTCTGGGGCCTAGAGACAGGCGTCGGGGCTTCAGGCTGCGGCTTTATGCACTACGGTTCTGTCAGCGTTTCTCTTGTCAAGGTAATTTGTAGGTTAATTTCATGGTGTGCGTTATAATCACTGAAGCCACTGTCCTCACAGATCAATCGCCCTTTGGGATGACTGGCCAGGGCTGTGTCTGTTTAAACAGCACACATTTTGCACCTTGGAGATGGAAGTAAATATATTCTCTTAAACAACACAGGAGGCATCACTACCTTTTATAACAGGGGCGGCCAGAGTCACAATTTTGCTACTATGAACAATTAGTCCCTTGGTGTCTACGGTCGTTCATTTGGAACCTCTGCATCGCTTTGCCAAACTAACAGTGCGAGGAAGGCCACTTGACTGCTGGCTGGGGAGCTGGCTCTGCCGCAGCACTGAAGCCCCCCATCACACACCCTGGAGACCGTAGCATCTGCCCTAGAGTGGAAAATCTGGGGCCCTCCCAAACATCCAAGAAGTCTCTGGAAAATCCTAGGCCTCCTTTGGGCAACGTGACCCTATTGGGAGGATCCAGAGTGACCCCGCTGTCCCCTCCTGCCCACACCACGGTGAAGGAGCCTGCTGCTGGGCAGCCAGTGGGAGGAAGGACGCCCCCCCTCTCCAGGACTTACCACCTGCAGAAGGGCCAGGTACCCGGCTCCCACGTTGTCAAAGTTGACCTTCACCTTGGTCCAGTACAACTCGCCAGTCATGTTGAAGGACTCACAGTCGCTCTTGTTGTTCACGATGGTGTAGTTCAAGGGCAGGTCTCCCTCAGTCTGGTTGATGCACCTCCCAAACTTCCCCGCGAAGAGGTTCACGCCCATGATGCTGAAGATGAGCCAGAAGATGAGGCAGACGAGGAGGACGTTCATGATGGATGGGATGGCGCCCACCAGGGCATTGACCACAACCTCAAGTGGGCAGAGAAGAGGCTCAGTTCCTGGGGGTGCCCAGAGCACACGCACTTTTCAAGAACCACCCCCCACTCCACCTACTGAACCCCTTGGCTGTGGGTCCCTGTGAAGGGGGGGAAATGACACTTCCTGTCCCCAAGGAAGGGCAACCCATGGCCAGAAGGTCTGGTGGGCAGAGAGGGGAGTGAGGAAACACACACGCCTTTAGCTTTGCCCCCTGAAGTCTGACATAGCTCAGAACATCTGCCTTTCCCTTCTTGGCTCTGCCCAGAGTCCATGACCTTCAAACTTAATTTTCAATCAGGTCTCTGCCAGTTGAGGACACCAGAAGTCTGCTGGGAGAGGGCCTCTGGAGACACATTCTCTGAGCTAAGTTTCTGGTTTATTTTGGGGTTGCAGCTACTGGGATGGATGGATGTTCTCCGGTAAAGTGCGCCCAGGGGCCCTCCGAGCGGTCCACATGGAGGGTCCTCCGACAGCTCTCCCGCAGCGGGAGCAGGGCTGGCAGGGCGGGTGGTGTGGGGGCTCCCGTGCCTCTGCCCTCCCTGGGGAGCGGCTCTCTGACCCCGTGAGCCACGGCCCCACGCTCTTCATCTAAACTCACAGCACCCAGGAGAGGCATCCTTGGCAAAAAGAAACGGGATTCCACTCAGTGAGGGACCTAGTCCCCAGGTGTCCGTGAGCCAGGAGCATGTTTGCCACACAGACTGAAGTGCACCGGTGTGGGGCTGTGTGGTGGGTTTGGTGCCAGAATGGGTAATGCTGACACATGCAAACGAGAGGGGGTCCCTGGCGCCCCAGCAAGCATGATGAACCCAGGAACAGGGTGGGAGGCCAACTCTCAAGTCTGCCCTTGGCTGGCTCTATGGCCAGTGGCCACCACAGAGGCATTTCTGGCAGCTAGAGTCTCCCCTGTGTCCCAGAACCAAATGTACATGCTCCCAAAGAGACATTTAACTTAGGTCAAATTATTCACTTGTGAACGGCTTTCCACCTGAAATAAGCAGTTTGTTTCTCCATGGATCAGGAGTGTGGGCAAAGTTCTAAACCATCAACCCAATGGGGGCTGCGTGATGGTGCCTGCCGAGTCGGTGAGACACACTCAGATGTGTCTGCTGAAGTCACAACACAACTGTGCATGTTTTGTAAAAACAACAACAACCACCAAAAATACACATGCAAACGTACAAATAGGTTTGTTTTGCTATATATGATGGGTAATTTTTTTTTCTTGGTGGGCTTTTAAATTTGCCTCGTATGTGCACATTCTTTGGTAAAATTTGATGACTTGAAAAAACGCATAGGGCTCTGCACTTAGAAAACAGTACTGGGGGAGGGTGTAGCTCAGTGGGAGAGCGCATGCTTAGCATGCATGAGGTCTTGGGTTCAATCCCCAGTACCCCTATTAAAAAAAAAAGAAAGAAAATAGTGCCAAAGCATTTACTAAGCAAATGCAAACTGCTATCCAATGGTGAGACTACAGCTGGCTCCTTCCTTCATCCTTATTCACAGTCCCACTGTCCATCAGAGAGAGGGAAGCAGCCTGGGTCGGCCAGGAGGCAGGGGACACCGACAGGCACAGGGAACCCGGGCCCATGGGACTGGGCCCACCCAGATGGGAGGCCCTGCAGGAGAGCAGAAGCCCAGGGGCCCCGGGCGGTGGGGCTGGGCTGCAGCTGGGACGCCTGTGCCCCAGGCCTCACTTCCTCTCCTTTGTCCAGTGTTCTCTGGCCCTCATGGAGCCCACGGGGTCAGGGGTGGCAGGCCTGGGGGGAGGTTCTCACAGCTCTCCTCCTCCAAGTCCAGCCTGCGCCCTGGAGATCCCGCACGGGCTCCTGCCAGGTCAGGGCCAACTGGTCAGCAAATGAGCCTGAGGTCCCCTCTGTGGAGCCGCCTCCCAGTGCCCCTGTGGGAAGGCAGCCCCCCTCTTACCCGCATGCCCTCAAAGCGCGACAGGGCTCTCAGCGGCCGGAGTGCGCGCAACGTCCGCAGCGACTTGATGGGGCCCATCTCAGCAAAGCCCAGGGCGTTGGCCACCAGGCTGATCAGCGAGACCTGTGGGAGGCAGGGTTGGGGTGGGGCCACGGGGACCGCTGGAGACAGGCGGCAGGGCTCCTGGCCCACCGAAAACTGGGCACGGGAAGGCCTGCTGGCTCTCACACCCAGCCTGTCTATGATTCCCGGCTGGGTCGTCTTCACGGGCTGCCGTGCACTGGGCCAGCCTTCCCGGGGCCCAAGAGGCTGAGGGTGAGCCCAACGGTGTCCTAGCTTTCAGACCTTCACTGAGGGCCTGCTGTGAGCACGGCACACACAGGTCTGTAATAGCCCCACTCACCCCAGGACTTGGAATGCGTTCTCCCCATTCTACAGATGAAAAAACTGAGTCCCAAAGCCACCCGCCAGTGTAGAGAAGCAGGGACCCAAAGCCTGGGCTTGCAGTCGCCACGTGCTTTCCTTCAAGTCAGATTCTTGGGCCTGCCCCTTCCCTCCCCCATAGTAGCCTCTCTGGGGAAGAAGGACCATCTTGAGCCGCATATAAGCAGATCGACAGTCCTGGGGCATTTCCCCAGAGCCGGACCACACAACATTCTGACAGCTTCAAAGGGAGGCTCAGAAGGAGCCTCTGAGGACTGCTCTGCTCTCTGCTCCCTCTGCCCCACTTCCACTGGGTGTCTCCACCCCACAGATTTTGTCCTTCTGAAGCTCCACGGGCACCCAATCCCTCCTGCGTCACTGCTGGCTGGTGATCACAGGTTGGAAATGGCCCCCTGCCTGACCTCGCCAGCCATCACCACTCCCACCCCCCGGCTCTGAGGGCAGCCTAGTGGGGACAAGGGGCTGTGGGCACGGCCTGACCCCCACAGCCTCCTCCCAGGAGGGACTCCTGTGCTGCCCCAACTCGCCCCCCGAGGATGCTGGTCCCCATTCTGGGGAGGATGAGGGGCATCTCTCAGGGACCTCTTGCTGGGGACAGGGCCCCAGGGACCAGATCCAACTAGTCTGCCTGCCTAGCTCCCAGCAGGCCATCCTTGTCGTCTGTCCTTCCAAAGCTTTTCCCCCCTGCTCCACCCACATCCCCCACCTCAATGATGGCAACTCCATCCTTCAGCTGCTCAAGCCACAAGGCCTGGCGTCATCCCTGCCTCCTGCCTGTCTCTCACACCCTCCATCCAACCCGTCAGGATTTCCTGTTGGCTCTGCCTTCACAATACGTCAGAAGTCCAAATATTTCTCACCACTTCCACTGCCACCATCCTGGCCAGGCCACTGTCATCTCTCCCCTGGATTACTGCCATGGCCTCCCAACCTTCTCCCTGCTTCCCCTCCCATGCCCCACTGCCTCCGCGAAGGGGTGATCCTTTTAGAACATGAGTCAGATCATGTCACTCTTCTGCTCAAAGCCCTTTAACACCTCCCCATTTCATTCTAAATAAAAGTCATACTTTTCAAAGGCTGCACCTCTTCTGCTCCAAGCAGTCTGGCCTCATCTGCTACACTTTCCTCCCCTCCATCTCTGCTCCAGCCACTCTGGCCTCCCTGTAGTTGCTCAAGTATGTCAGGCATACTCTCGCCACAGGACCTTTGCACTGCCACTCCAACCTCTGCTTAGAATGTTCTGCAGACATTTGCCAGGCTAACCCCAATCTCCTTCAAATGTCACCACAGTGGGCCCACCCTGGCCAGCCTGTTTACAGTTATCTGCACTGTCCCTTCTCCCTGAGTCCTGGCCCTCTATCCCCTTCCTCCTCTACTCCCTTTTCTCCGTGTCCTTCCAACTGGGGGTTCTGATGGTAGGGCCCAGGTTGCCCCTCTGTGACCCCAGACTCGGGTCTCCTGCCCCTCTGCCCGCCCCAAGGCCCAGCTGAGGGACCCCACTTCAGCCTGGTGACTTCCGCCAGCCCCACCTTCGGTCCCTCAGCCTCAGCTCCTTCTCGCATCAGCCACGGGTCCCCCTTCTCCCCTCCCCTCAGGGACCACACTCACATCCACGATGAGGAAGTCGAGCCAGCACCAGGCGTTGGTGAAGTACTTCTTGAAGCCGTAGGCCACCCACTTGAGCAGCATCTCCAGCACGAAGACGTAGGTGAACATCTTGTCGGCGTACTCCAGCAGGACCTTGATGGTCTTCCGCTCCTCCAAGTAGATGTCCTCAAAGGCCTGCAGACCAATCCGGACAAGGTGGCCATGACGTCCGACCACCGCCAGCCCCACCCTGCCGAGCCCCCAGCTCTGACACCGACTGCTGCCCAGGGGCTGGGGCCGGATCTGGGAGACGCGGAGCAGAGGGGGTTCCTCAGCGTGCTCTCCAAGCAGGGCGTGCACCACTGCTCGGTCAGGAAGCAACCCAAAGTGGTGTGTGCACAACAGGGCAGAATGTGTAGCCTGATGCTTCCTCCTTCACTTTAAAGATCGAGTCTCAGTTCCGGGCGAGGGCATCTTTAAGACCTTTCTAAAACGTGCTCATCTCCCATTTTAACGAGAGGGTGTGCGGGCTCAGCGCACAGTCTGCTGCTGGAAACAGCATAAACCTTTTTTTTTTCCCACTCCACTGTGTTTTTACTCTACTTTAGGCAATTACCTACTTTTCATAGGAAACAATATTGGTTTCCAATGACAACAATCATTCAGAGTTGCCCTTTACAATAAATTTATTTAAACAAACAAAAACCCAGTGGGTGTTGATCTAAGGGAAAATTTTAAAGAAATGATAGTAAAGGCAGTTTGTAGATAGGAAGTTTAGGAAACACAGGACTAGATGAAGTCAAACCTCCTGCAATCCTCAGAACCTGGGAGTCAAAATTTCTAAAATGCTAGAAGTTCTAAGTCTTTCCCTACCTCCTCACTCCTGCCTCGACCCAAATCCCTGAGCCAACAGAGACCTGATGGCCCCCAGTCCCCCCTCCAACTCCAGTCTTCTCATCTGTACCTGCTCCCCCTGTTCAGTGCGCTCTGGGGCTCCCAGTCTAGGCAACTGAGCGCGTCACTGAGGGCCCCGGGGAGCTGCCTCCACCAGCTGCTCTGGGCCTCCCTGTCCAACCGCAGGGCCTCTGTGAGCTACAGTGATCCAGGGGGCCGGTGCTGTCAGCAGTGTCCTAGTATACACCACTGGGGCATCACATGGCTCATCTGGCCAGTGTAGATGGGACAACAGGATAATTCAGGTCCCAAAATTGACTGGAAATTGTTCAAGATAAAAAGTGGGCGAGTCTTTTTCTGATTATAAAAATATATGCTTCTTATAAAAAATGAAATGCAGAAATTATAAGAATAAAAGGCATCTCCAGTTTCATGATATTAAAGTAACCACTGCTAACATTCAGATGAACATTCTTTTCGACTCTATTTGTGTGTATTTGAGCACACAATTTTATAAGGTAAACTATTTTGTTTTGAAATTTCCTTTTCCATGAAACAATCTTTTGTGAACATTTATCTACCCGATATGAGAATATGTACAATATGTATCTATCATTCTTTTTGAAGGCTGCATAATTAATATTTCATTATTTGCATGTGCTATTATTTAGCCATTGTTTCCAATTTATCCCTAGTAGAAACAACAGTGCAATGAGCAACTCATCTGATTATCTGAGGAGGATAATGTCCTAGAGTTGAGGTGCCAGGTCAAAGCTGTACTTTCAGTACAGATTAGGAACAGGACCTCCAGAAGGGACACCGATTGACACTCCCTTCACAGTGCATGAAGGCAGCTCTCTCCCCACCACCCACACTGGTGCTGCATCTCCTTTGTCACGTTTCCCAGCCTAATGAATACAAGTTGTCACTGTTACATTTTAATTTGTTTTATTTCTAGTGATCCTGACACCATTTCCTTGGATATTTGCAGTGCTCTTTATAAATTTCCTGTTCATCTCCTTTGCCTAGTTTTTCTCCTGAGTGTTGGGTTTACCTGGGGACACTAACTCTTTATTTTAGACGCTTTATCCTAGTTTTGTGCCTTTAAATCTTGTTTACGTTTGTTTACCATATTGAAGTTCTGTACTTCATTTTCATTTATTGTTACATCGTTTAATAGAATTATAGCATTTATTATGATTTTCATTTAGTAAAACCTTTGGTGTCATGTTAAGAAAGCCCTTGCCTGTTCTAGGGCCAAAGGAAAAAAATGACCTTTCTTTTCTTCTTCCTTTTTTTTTTTTGGCTTTCTAGTTTCATAATTTTATGCTATAATTTTTAAAATCTAATATATTTTGGTAAAGAGCAAATACCCATTTTAATATTTTTTTGCAGAGTGGCTTGTCAACTGTCCTAACACTTTATTAAAGAATCCACTTTAAGTCCACAGATTAGAAGCTGACTTTATCATCCACTACATTTCTCTGTTTGCTGAAATCTATTTCTGATCTCTGTGTGGTTCTGCTGCTCTTTCTGTCTGTTCCTGAATTAGTGTCATGTGAATCTTCCTGACCATTTTTCATAATTTTTAAGATAAACTTAAGCAATGTTTTGTCAAATTCACTTAAAAACGTTAGAAATGTATTGTTATGAACTGTTTTAGGAATTAGTACAGTCTTTCTACCCAAGACCAGAGTATATTTATAGTATGTTTATCTGTCTGTTTGTCTTCTTTTACAATCCTTAGGAAAGTTTAATAGTTTTCTTCATGTACGTCTCATACACCTCAGGTTATATTTATTTTCGATTCTTTTATGCTTAAAAGGGCCTGGCATATAGGACTATTTGAGAAATGTTACTTGTGACTAAACAGTTTCTGTCAGTATAAAACAACAGCAGCAATAAATATTTGTGTATTTATTTTATATCTGGTCATATTTTAAAAAATAGGTTTTAAACCAGTTTTAATCTGTTAAAATTTTTTCTAGGCAATCATCTATGCATAATGATATATTTCTATTATTTTAAACTCATTTTATACTGGATAATATTAACTACATTTCTTCTATTTTCCAATTTTTATACTGATTAGTTCTGACTAGTATTTCAAGATTATGATTGAATAATGAAAAACAGCTAAAATGTAGTTAAATCATCATTTTCTTATTCTTGACTTTAATAGAAGTGTTTCAAGTGCTTTACTACAAATAATAATGACACAACTTAATTTGAGGGGGAGGGGGTAGAGCTCAGTGGTAGAGCACATGCTTAGCGTGCACGAGGTCCTGGGTTCAATCCCCAGGCCCTCCATAAAAAAAGAAGTTAATTTGACAGTAAGCTTTTCACTAAGTTAAGGAAATAATTGTATTTCTATTCTCACCAAAGTTTTAAAAATTAGGCATTCATTGAGATGATTATATGGTTTTACATCTTTGCCTGACTCATATAAATACATATATGGCACCATTCTAACCATTCAGTTAGAATATACCTAACTATGACTCATTTAATCTTTTAAATATACTACCGGATCCTACTTGCATGTATTTTAAGATTTTTGCATCACTATTCGTAAGTATGGAGTATGAAAACTGGTCTCTGGTTTTCCATTTGGTGTACTTCAAATTTTAAAAATCAGCACTATTTAACTTTCATAAAAATAATTTGCAGATTTTCCATTTTTTTATACATTAGAAGATTTTACAATAGCATTGGAATTATTTTCTTCCTTGAGAATATGAACGAATTCACTCTTGGAGAGGTAAGAGATTAGATTAGCTAGTGGTTTATTTGATCATTTAAATTTTCAAGGAATCAGCTTTGGAATTGTTTCCGTTTTACTGTTTATTTTCTAATTCATTCATCTATAGTTTTATATTAGTAATTACTTCCTTAGCTTTAAGGATTTGTTGTATTTCTAATTACTTGAGTTAAATAATTAATTTACATTCTTAACACTTAATAATAAAAATATTTAAGCCTATATATTTTACCCTTATTACAGTCTTGGCTGTACCCCACATGTAGTATTAACAATATTGTTACTTTCTAGTTTCTACTCCTGCAAAGTATTTTTCTCTATTTTTTCCTTTCTTATTTTTCTAGATTTCAGGTGGGCAAAACTGGTTGAGTCGTCATCTTTGATTTATGATGCACTGTCATCCTTGGTCCACAAATAGTGTCTTTATCTTATTTATTTGTTTACTTATTAATATAATGAACACCCATGAACCTACCACTTAACTATTTTCTGTTTGATCCAAGGTTTGTTTAAGAATGACTTCAGCCCAGAAATGAACCCACAAACTTTTTGATCAATTACTCTTTGACAAAGGAGGCAAGAATATACAATGGAATAAAGACAGTCTCTTCAGCAAATGGTGTTGGGAAAACTGGACAGCAGCATGTAAATCAGTGAAGCTAGAACAGTCCCCCATACCATACACAAAAATAAACTCAGAATGGATCAAAGACTTAAACATAAGACAGGACACAATAAACCTCTTAGAAGAAAACATAGGGAAAACATTATCTCACATACATCTCAAAAATGTTCTCCTAGGGCAATGTACCCAAGAAATAGAAATAAAAGCAAGAATAAACAAATGGAACCTAGTGAAACTTACAAGCTTTTGCACAGCAAAGGAAACCATAAGCAAAACAAAACAACAACCTACAGAATGGGAGAAAATATTTGCAAAAGATGAAATTGACAAAAGCTTGATCTCCAGAATATATAAG